CTGGAAGTGAGATTATGTTTGGACAAGTTGAAAATGTTTATGGTTGTGGTGGGGTTTTTTGTATTTGTGGATCTTCTTTCTTTGGCATTTTTGCTGTTTTTCCCACCTCTGGTTCCTCTTCTGGTTTTTTCCTTTTTGTTTTTGGGGTGTGTAGCGGGCCCTCCCCTAAAAAAAGACGGTTTTAACACCGTTGAGGACTCATTGGGTTGACCCAGAAATCCTGTGGTTTCACTGAGGGGATTTTCCGTGTGGGTGGTCTCTGGTGGTGTATGAACTTGTGTGGGGGTTACCGCTGGATCGGGGACAGGGGTGGTGGACAAGGACAGGGATTCTAAACTGGGTGAATTGGCTGGATCTTCAGGAAGGTTCTCTGGTGTGTCCTTAGGACCCTGGACTGGCCCGAGGTGGTATTTTAGGGAGATGTCATCCCATACAAGGTTAGCCACTCTGGTGGAGGCTACAGGATGAATCGCCATTAGAGGAACTGGGTTGGGTGTGAACTGTTGTCGGGGAGTCTGTTTCCAACTGAACACTGTTCAAATTGTAATCGGCAAGGTCTCTTAATAGCTTCTTGGACTTAGATTTAATGATGATGTATTCCTGTATTGTGGTTAGCTGTTCCATATTTTGTATCCAGGGGCTGAACAAACAGGACATGCTGAAGGACTTATTTATGTTAGTGCGGAGGTCTTGTATTGACTTGGAGATGAGCTCTAATTTGCGTTTTCTCTGAATACCAATCAATTCGATCCATTTTTTGGTGCAGAATTCTGCCAGGAGGTGCCAGTTAGAAACGAGGTCCTGCTCCAGAAAATCACAGGTTTTCTGGATCCGGAGGCCTCTTGGATTGATGCCTAATTTAATGTATTGTTCTAGAAAGGCTATGTCCCACCATTGCTGGCTCTCTCTATTGATCTGTGTCTGTAGTGTTAAAAATTGTTTGCGCATGTTTAGTTCAAAAGTGGGGGAGTGTGGCGGGGGGTGATGACCAACCATTTGGCAGTTGTTAAAACTGGTCCTGGTGAGGTATGGGAGTTTGGATATATTGGGGTATTGATTGCTATCAGAAAAAAAAAGAGTTTTAGTAGTTTCTCTTTGTGTGGGAAAGCCATTGTCTGCCCAAAAGGGATGGTGTGCAGCTAATGAAACAAGCTAGTTGTTGCTATGGGCGACAACCAAAGTTTTTCCTTCAAACACTAACGCCAAAGATGTATTTTCGAATCAAATGTGTATAAAATAAATTTAATTTTAATCTGACTCTATAGGAATTTACTATTACAGAATATTTTGAGTACAGTTGTGCTACAGAACAGCTTCCTAACCTTGAAGACTAACACATAATGACAAGAGAATATTTTTCGGTTCCCTTGAAAAGAAGCCAAATCTGTCTCCTGTGGGCTTTTCCTGCTCAGGTTGATTCAGCACGCAGATGTAACAGAAAACACACAAGACAGTTATTAACTGACTTTGCATCATCCCAAGCTTTGCTACTCTGTAGCCAGAAATCAATACAAGGAATGAAGAAAAAAAAAAAAGTAAACATAAAGGCGTAAAGGGAACAGGAAAATACAACACTATAAAGTACAAAAGATGTTATTGGAAAATGAACAGAAGACTGCAGGGTGTACAGAGCTAATCAATACTACATAGCACAGGCGAGTGCAATCACCTGGGCCATGTCTAACAATTAAACCCTGCAAAGGTTTCATTCATTATCCCCTGGCATTTAAATGACTGCTGTTGCTGCAATTCACTGCCAGCTTTTATTGGAATTTTAGCTGTTCATTTACCAAAGTGAATTAAGAGACAGACCACACACTGTGCTCTGTACTCCAAAGCTACAAGCCGTATATATCAGCTGATGGTGTCCTAAAGAGCATATTCAGGCATCTACATCTATCTGCCTACTACAAGGAGCCACCAGGGACCAACCCATACGCAGCACCATAATCATTATGTCTGTGGAAGTTATACAGTATCCTACAAGGAATACAATACATTTATATTCCAACAGGGTGTCACAGAGGGATATTAAACATTACGTCTGCTATTAAAAGTTATATAACTACTTTATTTAATGATAGCTGGAGATTATTTTTTAATGTTCTACAGATTATCTATGCAGTCCTCTGCTTAATTTTTTCTACTACTAAATCATAAATTGTACATTGTACTGTATATAGTCTTTGCTATATCATTAGGTTACAAAGCTGAGAACCAGGTGCTGCTTGTTTTACTTTGGACTGGGAATTGGTGGTTTTGGCAACAATCCTAGTGCAAAATTGCTTGATACTTTTGGCAACGATAAGGTAAGAATGGGTAAGAGTTAACCTAGTGTTAGAGATTACAGTTAGGAAACATCTCAGGGTTTATTATTTATATTAGGGTTATGTTAAAGCTGAAATACAGATTTCTTTTTTTCTTCAATATGCTGCCTTGGACTTCCTAAATAAATTTTAAAAAAAGCAGCCCCCATAGATATCCAGCCCTGCTTGTTTTCTGGGTTCAAGGATGGTCAGTTTCATTCAACCCACTTCATGTGATCCCAGACCATAATGCAAAACACATGGCAAACGCACTCATCAATTAGTCACCAGCTTTACAGCAAGGTGCACATGGAAGGGCTTTATACAGTACAACAGCAAAAAGTTTCCCAGCACACTCACCAGCCAGCATGCAAAAAAAACTTCTCTCACTGCTAAGGTTAAAAGCAGAGGTTTAGATACACGTCTTCTGCAGAAAATGTGAAAGCCTCACAGCCGCGTCAAGGCACCTCTATATAGTGCGGTCCTAACTCTAAACTATGAGAGTCTCCATCTTGGAGCACATGTAGCAAAAGATAAAATTGGGTGCAGGTTTGTCAAGAGGAAGCCCAACCTCCTTAAAGTTAGTTTAGAGTTAAGATCGCACTATACAGAAGGGCCTTCACCACGGCAGTGCGGCTTTCACATTTTCTGCAGAAGACGTGTATCTAAACCTCTGTTTTTAACCTTAGCAGTGAGTGTGCCGGGAAACGTTTTGCTGTTGTACCAGACCATAATGGACACATCCATAAAGGAGGAGAGAGGAGGATAGAAAGTTAGAGTTCAGGTTTAAATGATATCTGTATTTAAAAGCTTGTCAGGTTTTTACTGCTATGTCCCTTGCTGGAAGACTTTCCTTCTCTAGCTGTCATGGTGACCACTGTCATTGGGACAGAAAGTAAGTCCTGGTTCACACCTAGCGTTCTGTATGGCTTTTCTGCCCTAAAAATACGCCAATAAAATTAAATGTACAAAAAAAGTTTAAAAAAAAAACTGAAGTGACATACAGTATAATAAAAACAAAAACATATTGTTTTTTTTTTAAAGCCCTCCGCCCCCACGTACATACAAACAAGCGTCAAGGACGCCTACGTGCCAAAACGAATGTGCCACACGTTACATATTGCTGTAAACATTGAAGTGAAAGCAATCATTCACTGCAAACTCTAAATTGATGAGTGGTAAAAGTTTTTAAAATCCTTACCTAAGGGGAATATTAACCCCTTCGTGACGGGAGACTTACACTGTACGTCCCGCCTATATGACTGGCCACGTACACTGTACGTGACAACTTATTTAAGGCTCTGTAATGCCAGTAACCTCTGATTCTCAGCGGTTACCAGACATTAATGAATGCCTCAGTATTGAGGCATTCATTAATGAAATAGTTAAGCTTTTGTAAAAGCTTCTTTCTTTCATTAATGAAAGAATGAAGCCGTTACATACAAATACTGGATCGCTAAATCCGGTATTTGACAGCTGAAGGTAGCAGAGTGAACTCACCTCTCTGCTATTCGTTTTGACAGCTCCATAGACTGGCCTGAAGTTTATGATACATTTCAAGCACAGGGTTATGCATCTCTTTGCCTGAAATGTATCACTTCTCATCGTCTGAGCAGGATCAAAAACCTTTAGTGAGATCTGATTCTGACATGCTCTCCGGATCAGTCTCTAAGGTTATGATTAGCTGTTCCTAAGTTTGGAGCAGCCTAATAATAACCAAAAATTAAAAAAGTTAATTTATTAAGCAGTCAATATATTTTATTCGAACTAAGTGAGGCGTTAGGGTACACATGTTTTATATAATTATATAGCCCTACCTGTCCTCTAAAAAACAATATATAATATGTGTGGGTACATTTAGTAAGAAAGTATATTACTGCCATGGAAGAATCACACAGCAAAAATGTAAAACAATTGTCATTTATGAACAGAAACTGAAAACTAGATCAGTCATGAACGGGTTAAGGACTGTAGTTTTTGCCATTTCGCAGGCACACGTAAATTTAAAGCTTGATATTTGGTATCTATTTACCTGATGCAACCCAATATTTTACAAAAGAAAATTGGGTATTATATTGTGTTTGTGTGCATTAAAATTAATTTTAGTGTATTTTTTCCTATAAATAATGGTCTGAAAAACCTTTGCTTTCAGAAAATATATAGTTGTTTTCTAGCCAACAATTCAAAAGGTAACAAAGTGGTTAAAGCAGACCACCTGCATTGCAGCTACAGAGCAAAGCAAGATTTACTTCATTCTCCCCATCTGCAGCAGCACACATATTGAACTTCCTTTCACTATCCTGTTCACCCATTCAGCTGCGGGGAGCAAGGAAAAAAAGCACCGTCTAAGATCAAGCTAACTTTGCAGTCAGCGTTTATACAGGATGTTATGTCTCCCCCATCACCATGTGACAGCAGTGGACCAATCATCAAGCGCCAGCACGGTCACATAGAATGAGTGACATACTCCTCCATACCAGGAATAACAGGTATGTCAGTGAATCTCAATGAGGCAACACTACATTCTGAGGCAGAGAATGCAGCAGTGGGAATGGACTAGAAAGTAAGAGAACTACAAAACCAATTTACCAGCTTTGGAGGAATTAGAGACAGAGACAGATCGGAAGTAATAATCATTTAAAAAAAAAGTCTAATTCTCGTGTTTGAATTTAAAGCATCACAATAGACCATTACCTGTATGCATGCTCCAGCCTTCTCATTGCATAAACTGCATATCAGTGCCCAACGGCTGCTAGGGATGTGAGACAGCTTGGTAATTGGCTCCATCTTTTCAGGACTCCCAATGCTCACCTATAATAAAAGAAAAACACACTTTTGTCTTCTGTAGGCTGCTGTGTGATGTGATATGATATATCAGTCTCCATAAATGATGGGGAGTTAAACCACCAGAGTTTCTTCTATTTCTCAGGCCTCTGTTAGCACAGTGTCTGTGCTTGAGTTCCTACATCTGAAAACTTGCTGTAGCTATTCTGGGGAGTTCCCATTCACCATATTGAATTTTAGATGTTTTTTATAATATGGAAAATGCAATGGGGGTGATGGTATATAAAAACACCCAGGTGGAGATGTAAGGAGATCCAACTGGTAAAGCATCCAAGACATAAGAAGCCAGGGTCTGACCCAGCCTGTCAGACTTACTCTATAGGGTTTCTTCACAAGGACGTGCACATCAGTACAGAGACCTGTTCACGGGAGGGACAGGTATGGTGTGTAATTGTGTGCAGCTGCCTGTACGTCCCTATGAGAGGACGTGGATGCATGCCAACCTGAACCTGTACACCCGTGCAGGTCCGTGTGCCTGCACTTGGACACAGATAGTGATGTACAGACAGCTGCATGCAATTAAATGCTACGCCTGTCCCTCCAAGGAGCAGCTCTCTGCACAGGTGCACACCGTATGGATGTCCTCACCCGTGTGAATGAGCCCATAGGTAAAGTATTACTTATGGTTAGACATACCTTTAAGTTTTCCAAAACATTATATGTGATCCAGCTTGTCATATTAACATATTTCCAGTTTATTGAGCATAGTTAAAGCCTACAGAGAACAAGAATCAAGCAATAATAGGACAAAGAATCTTGATGGTGCAATGATTACCTCAGGGATCCACAAAGCACAACTGACATGAACCCATTTAGTACCACTACGGGTGGGCTTCATGGCACCTCCTTTCTTTGGGCACAGTAAACATTTTGGCTGGACCCCTAGGGCACATGTCCGACACAGCCAACTTCCTTCAGGTACTTTGAGAATGCCGTAACATGCCTGCAAGTGAGAAGAAGCAGAATGTGTGCCAAAGATTAATATAATTGGTTATTTTCCTTAAATCATCTGTGAATTTACAGAATGGAATAAATTGTACGGCTGTTTACAGACTGGTGCAGAGAGAAGAATATGAAGTACAGTATGGCACTGTGAGGTATAAAACATACAGCACTGTGTATACAGCTAATCTTTGGGGAACATATAACATGCAGCCAAATACTGAGATTATATAATGAAACGCAAAGTTTATTCAGTGGAGCTAGTCATGTACAGTACAGGGTATACAGAAAGGCAGTGCGGAGTATGTAATGTACAGCACAGCCTACACAGCTTAACAATGGCCTATATACTGTAAGGTGGAGTGTACAGAATAGAACAAATGTGGCATATGTAACATAGCACAGTATATAAAGTGAGGCTATGTGGAGAATATAACACATAGCACTCTGCAGAGACCAGAGCAATGTGGAATATAAAATGTATACTACAGATTGCTGTGCAGTGTGGCGTGTATATAATAATAAAGGGTATATACAGTCAGTCAGGATTCACTGACAACGGTTTTGCGGTAGAGTTCTGATATTTTTTTCCAGTACTCGCCGATACCGAATACCGGAAATCCCATTAAGGAAGCTGAGCGGTGTGTAAGGACTTGCCGTCCGGCTTCCCGTTCAGACAGGAGGCCATCTCCATGCCCCCTCGTCACCAGGTGACGAGGAAGCATGGAGCCAGCTTTCTGGCCAATCAAGAAGCCGGGGGGCGGGTAATGACTCTGCGTCTGGCTTCCTGATTGGCCAGCAAACCAGCTTCATGCTCCCTCGTCACCAAGTGATGAGGGAGCATGGAGCCGGCTTCCTGGCCAATCAGGAAGTGTGGGGGTGAGTCATTACACGTCCCCCAGCTTCCCGATTGGCCGGGAAGCCAGCTCAATGGTGACGAGGGAGCAAGGAGTCACCAGGCCAATTGAGAAAGCCGGGCAGTGTGTAATGACTCGCTGCTCGGCTTCCTGATACCAGAAGTTTGGGTATCGGCTAGGCATCGGGAGCATTTGGACGAGTACTTGCCCAAATACTCTATTGGCACTGATACTAGTATCAGTGCATCCCTAATGTAAACAGGCAAAACAGTCCAGAGTATATCATGTACAACACAGTGCAAAGCCAAGCATTGTGGAGTATTTAACCAAGTCCTGTGTATACAGTTGAGTAGTGCAGGATATATAAACAAACATACTGCACAGTATATACAGCTAAACTGTGACTGTAAAGTGCTTTTGAAATTAACAACGTATGGTGAAGGACTTCTATGAAAAAACAGTTAATGCACTAATCAATATAGGAAATATGCTGTGAATGAATTTCGCAAAGTAAAAAGTTAAAGCTGAACTCCAGGCAAACAGCTAAATACACAGATGAAATACAAATTTGGAAGTTGTTTAACCTGCCAAAGGATTTGGACTTTAGTCCATCCAGTCCTGAGGATGTACACAGCTCTGCTCCAAGACACAACCCTCTCTAGCAGCTCAGGGGAACAGATCTTTCTCTACTACAATTTCACTTTCCCTTACAGGTCTCCTCCCCACCTCCGCCATGTGACTTGACCGCGAAAGGACAAGCAGCACACTGATAAGTTTTTCTTTGTCACTCTGCTTTCTCCTCTTATCAGCGTGCTCTCTGCACTGCAAGGGTTCATGTTCACTAAATGGGAGGGGCAGAATAAAAAGTTAATCTAATTTTTTTATTTTTACTTTGGATAGAGTATGACCTGGTTAAAACCCATGCAATGTTTTTGCCATCTATGTGCAACTGAGGAGATTTCTCTACTTAACCCCTTCGTGACGGGAGACGTACAGTGTACGTCCCGTCACAAAGTGGCTATATGACTGGCCACGTACACTGTACGTGCCGAGTTATATTAGCCTCTGTAATGCTGGTAACTGCTGATTCATTAGACAACAGTAAATGAGAGTAAAGCCTGCATATGTAAGGGGAAACACCAACTAGATTTCACCATTGGTAAGTTTCTTCTCTATTATAGTTCTGGTGATAAGTTGTCACCACCCAGTGATTACACAAGAGTCAAACCACTTTATCCCAAATGTGAGATACATTTTATTGTACATTGAGCTGAATGTGCCTATATTTACCGTGCTGGGAGGTGAACAGCAAAGGTTTAATGTACAGCATTGGTACCCCATCCCAGTCAGTGTTGTGTGCTCTGTGCCCCTGCCACTAACTACATCACTTCCTGTGTGTGAATTTACAGTCAGTCAATCTTAATGACTACATAGCTGGATAATTATTATTTTATATTAGCCTGTAGTGCAAATTTAACAAATATGTACACACAGTACATCACTATACCAAAGACCACACTCAAAACAGAGATTCCTGATCATCACTTCATCATGTCATCATTATTAACCCTTTCGCTGCCAAGCCCTCCGGAACATTTTTCAAAAGGGACAGTCTGCTGAGAATAGGGGACAGTCTGCTGAACAGTTGTACTATAAGCTGATGGTCGCTAAAGCGACCATCAGCTTATAGTAGAACTGTAAATGCCAGGTCTGTACGGCATACTGAGCTGGCCAGCTGGAAGCACTTTTGTAGCTCCGTACGCCGTACGTCCTTGGCAGCGAAAGGGTTAAAAGGGTACCTACAAGGGTAACTGGGTGAATGTCTGGTGAACCATTCAGGTTTTACTGTACAAAAAGAGTTCCATGTCATCCATGGAACTACTGGACAGGCATCCTAGGTATAGTTACGAGTACAAAATTAATAATGCTAAACTGGGTCAATAGCATTTCACAAGTCTACATTTCATTTAGCACTGCACTATAAGAAATCCTCTCGAAGTAACACAAGTATAAATGCTTAGTGATGGCACCAATCCGGTTTTCATCAGGAAACATGTTATTAAATTAGAGCTACCCATAGATGCGAAAGGACAGTTGGATTGGGTGATGACCTCAACAATGCTACATTCACACATACGCTTTAGGTGTGATTTGGTTTCCTGCATCAGGAACTTGCGATTTCCTGCAGCAGGAATCCCAAATCTACCATTTACAAGCGACACCTGTCACCCATTCAAAGTTAATGATCAGGTGACAGCAGCCGCATATGTGACACGATTACATGCAGTTAGGAATGAATGACTATCCCTAGGTGCATAGTCTTGCAATGTGCCAGCATTCTTCCACTTTCAGATGAGTCTGCTGTTACCCAATAATTAACTTGAACGGGTGACAGCTGCCACTTCTAAACGGCATATTTGGGATTCCTGCTGCAGGAAATCGCAAGTTCCTGATGCAGGAATACCAAATTGCACCTCAAGTGTAGGTGTGACTGCAACCTAAGTCCCACATACCCCCTTTGTTCATTTGCTCTTGGGGAGAGGGGGGCACTCAATTAGACAGGTTAGGAACCCTGCTTACTGCTATACCCCTCCATGAGTGGTACCGACATCAATGACTCCTTGCCTCCAATGACAAATTTTGGTAAAGCCATGTAAGCTGAGTCAAGCAAGGTTTAGTGACCAGTGTGTGGAGGGAAATGTGGTATATTAAAACCCCCCACTAATCCCCCTAATCTCTTTCTTGCTATTACTGCTAAAAACAACTTTTTGTGTTCAAATTATACATAATCTTATTTTTTTTATATTAAAAATTCTATAAATGTTTTTTTTTACTATTTATTATAATTGTTAAAATATATCTAAAGCCAGCCCCTTTTTTAGTTTTAGATAGATACGAAGGAGGAGTTTTTGCTTTAACCTTTTCCTACTCTATGGAGGAAGCTATAGTTGCCACCCAGGCTGGACATGTTTGCATTTGTTCATCTCCAATGAGGACATTATAATTTACAGAAGAGAGATTAATGTATGCAAGATCAACGAGTATTTTTGGTGCTTATTGAAAATAGAAAATGAATGCAGCCACCACATCTGACTGGTAAGCTGCAATAGAATAGAATTTTTGTACTCCCCACAGCATAATTTTCTAGAAATGGAATGAGGGACCAGTCGGTTAAAAGAGAATTAACCTCCCTGGCGGTATGATTTTTCCCTTTTTTTTTATACTTTTTCGTTGTGTGTTTTCTGAGTAAGACAGAAACATGTCAGCGGATGTTTTTTGTACAGATGCATGTGGAATTAAGTTTGATTCTCTTTGGAAGAGCATCGTGTGCTGGTTCTGCAGTATGGGAGACAATCACTCCAGAAGAGGGTTATCTGCGCACCGGATGTGGATTACAAGGATGCATGACAGGGGTGAGCTGTGCGCTTTATGTTTCACAAGCCCAGGATAGCCCCCCTTACTACCAGCAAGCCTTAGTTTTGCAGCAAGGCAGTACCGAGAGCATGATCATAATAGAGCGGTGGGACCTGCAGCCCTCAACGGACTCCAAATTTTATGGCAAGTATAAAAATCCGATTTACTTTCTCATCCATTAAGGGACCTTTTTTTTTTTTACCCTCAAGATCTGCAATGCAGTCAAACTGAGGGGTGGGCAACACAGTAAACAAATGTCAACAGCCCCAAGGAAAAAAACAAAACAAAACTAAGGACTGCCCTCAGCTCAAAGAGCTGCCTAAAGCACCTTACATTCGAAGCTGGATGAGGCCTGAATATCCAACTTGTGGAACTTAGAGAACACGTGGGCAGAAAACAAGGTGGCAGCCATGCAAATCTGAGAAATACTAGCCCGATTCTGAAAAGCTCAAGAGCAACTCACAGATCTGGTAGTGAGAGCTTTAAAGTGACACTGAACCCGAGTTAAATCTTAAAAACACATTCAAGCACCTTATCTTTTAACAATACTGTACCATATTTGTGTATCACTCGGCTGTAGATCTTCAAATCTCTGAATTGGTGCTAACAATGTCCTTCCTTCTGGAGGGCGCCTACTTTGTTCCCCATGGTCCTGTGTGTGTTGTAAAGTAGCCACCACCAAACTTGCTCCTGTGATGGACTACAATCTCACGTCTAGTTTACTAATTTGTATTTAGATTGTAGTCTATCAAAGGAGCGAGCTTAGAGTGGTGGCTAATTTACAACAAACACAGGGACCATGGGGAACAGAAGTATCGACCCTCCAGAAGGAAGGACAGTGTCAGCACCAATTCAGAGATGATCTGAGGATCTACAGCCGAGTGATACACAAATAAGGTACAGTATTGTTAATAAGCAAGGTACTTACCTGGGTTTAGTGTCACTTTAACAAGAAAGAGTAGAGCCCAGTCTTTCTGAAGGAAGCAGTGTCTGAGAGACTCATGGCATGAACCACATCCGGGCAATAGAGGGAAATCTCTTTTTATTTAACTGGAGCCAGACAGACAAGATGAAAGGCCAAAACTACCTTAGGCAGAAAGGAAGTTATAGGCCCCAGCACTACCTGGTCTTGTGAAAAAACGAAAAAGGTTCTTTGCAGGACAAGGCTGCAGGGTCAGAGACTCACCTCACAGAGGTGATGGCTACAAGAAACGCCACTTTGTGAGTTCAAGTAAAAAGGGGAATGTCTGTAGTAGGTTGAAATGGCAGTTTCTGAAGCACCACAGTGTCACAGGGGAACGAACAGGAATGAGAATCCAAAAGTCTTGGAAATAAGATAGCAAGAGAAGAGACCTGACTCTCAATGATGCCGAGAGGTAAATGCTGGTCTACAACCAGCAGTAGAAAGAAGAGGATTTGTCACATGGAGATTCTCTCAGGGGGGAAGCCCCAAGACTCATTCCATGTGAAGTATGTCTCTGATGTGTGATGATAGATCTTGTGAGAAGTAGACTTTCTAGCATTTAACATAGTGGGAATCGCAGATCCAGAGATTACCGTTTTTCAGAACCTGGGATTTAACAGGTATGCCATTAAAGCCAGCAACAAATGGACAATGGACACTTCGTATTGTATGGACACATCAAGTGAAAATAAATCCCTCAAAGTGAGTTAGGGAAAGGTAATAAAGCATCTCAATGACGCTTCTAATCTAGGATCATTTGTCCCTTTGAGAGGAGAATTATCCCTACTCCTATCAGGTTTCAGTACTTTCAAGAACCACTTATATCCCTGAACCCCCAGCGATTCTCATTTGGCCCACACTGTTCAGGCTTCAGAGATATGGCCATAATCCACCTGATAGGTAAACCTCTAGTAATACTGCTAAAACTATGCTTTATCACCTTGGTTTTCAACTGGTGGGCCGTGACCCAAAAGTGTTCAGTGGGTCGCCACATGCCTTCCACTTTTCTAGGAAAGAGGATCCTCAGCCCCCCCCCCCTGCGCAGCACTGTCAGCTCTCGTGCCAAGCAGCTATTTAAGATATGCTGTGTGGCGCAGAGTGTTAGCTTGAGGTGGAGTGGGCTGGGGCTATGGCCGTGAGGGAGCTCCATTCATACATGCATTGATTACAGCTCACTCACTTGTCCTGTAGAGATGCCTGGACTGGAGTGATGTCACATTCTGGCTCCTGGCACCTCTACAGGGTGCACAAGGGAACAGTACAAGCAATGTTCATACGAATGGAGCTTTGTCACAGCACAGCAGCCCACACTAGACCCCAGGCTGAGGATCCACTCCAGTTCTTGTAAGGTAGGGAGACTGGGTGAATCTTAAAAGAAAAGAAAAAAATACTTGACATTTTTTTTGGTGTGTGTATGTGCGTGTCAGTGTTTTTGAGGGCCCGTTCACACACGTACAGTGTGCAAATCGAACAGTCCCGTGCGATTAACGCACTGTACCATGCAATTGCACCTACTACGCATTTTTGTGTGGGAGGTACAAAGACACCTCCCGCCCATGGTTCAATCGCCCGCACCGGAATGCACGGTACTGCAATGCCATGCGACTTGGATCACGACTTAATGACCGAGGACAAATGTGGGTCCTGAGGTTACACAGGTTGAGAACCACTGCTTTAGCAGAAAGACGCTCCACCACCTGCCCCATGGGAGAAGAAACATGAAGGGAGTATGTCAGGGCAAAGCTTTTTAATATCTATACTTTCTAACCAATTTAGTAGGCAAAGCGATATCTTGGTTTAAGGGTATCCATCAGGGAAGATGAGCTAGAAATGAAACATTTCAGCTGGAAATGACAAACCCCATAAAAAACACCAGAAAGACCATAATAAGCACGCAACCTTTTCAAAAGCGCTCTACTAACCTGATGTACGCAGATATTACATTTGTCACAGAAGACCATTTCGTTGCTATCTTCACCATCTGGAGACTGACAGACATCGCAGACAACATCCTCGTCATACTCAATGCCAAGGCCTTCCTCTGTCTCTATGGCATGGTTCATGTTGTCATAGCACTTCTGTTCAAACTCCTCCATTGCTCGCTCCATCATGTACTCATCCAGCTGCGGCATACCTACAAAAAAATAAAAGCATAATGTAGGCAGGAAGTAAACACAGGACTTTTAGTCTCCAGCATGTCCAATTAAGACACCATTATAATCCACATATGCCAGGCACATGGTAACATGTAACTAATGAACACACAGGCTGTTAAGGGTTGCAATGTAAAGTTTTCCAACAAGGAAGATTTTCCTTATGATCATTTTAATATATAATGTTATTACCTACCTACACGGTTTATATATTACATGGAGGCCAAGTAGCTAGAACTGTTGTTTTGCAGCCCTGAGGTCTTGTGTTAAATCTCTTCCCCCAGGACAATGTTTACAATGGAGTCTGCATGTTCCAGAATTTAGATACCTACTGGTAAAGTCTCATTCCCATAGACAGAAATACAGGCGTATAGCAATAGGAAAAGCAGACTGTATTTGCAGTGGCTGGGAGCCCAGTTGTTTTTGCGGATTTGTGTCACATGTGCACGTGTATGGTGCAAGTTTCACAAATGCTAAACGTACAGTTTTGAACAAAATTTGTGAGCAATAAAGTTTCTGAACCATAAGAACAGTGTTCCTACTCTTTCACAACACAGCGCTCCAAGGGCCCAACCACAGCCCCTACATGTGAGAGTGCTGCCTACCAGAAAACATCCCACACCCTATTAGGATATCCCAATCCAAAGCTCCATTAGTCTATTGAATATCTTACTGCTGTGCAAATTAGGGCTGCAGCTAACGATTATTTTCAAAATCGATTAGTTAGCCAATTAAGTTCGATTAATCGGATTAAAAAAAAAAAAAAGGCTCCAGTGATGGACTAGTAGTTTGTATTGAGATTAAAGTCCATCAAAGTAGCAAGCTTTGAGCGGTGGAAGAAAACAAAAAAACTGTGGTGTGCAATATAGTGAAATGGAAAGTGTTAAATTAAACAGCAATCAATGCAGAATGGCACCGGCTATAGAAGACTACAAATCCCAGCAATCGTACATTATACAGCACAATACACAATACCACCAGCTATAGAGGAATACAGCAAATCCCAGCAATAATACATTATACAGCGCCATGCAGAATACCACCAGCTATAGAGGAATACAGCAAATCCCAGCAATAATACATTATACAGCGCCATGCAGAATACCACCAGCTATAGAGGAATACAGCAAATCCCAGCAATAATACATTATACAGCGCCATGCAGAATACCACCAGCTATAGAGGAATACAGCAAATCCCAGCAATAATACATTATACAGCGCCATGCAGAATACCACCAGCTATAGAGGAATACAGCAAATCCCAGCAATAATACATTATACAGCGCCATGCAGAATACCACCAGCTATAGAGGAATACAGCAAATCCCAGCAATAATACATTATACAGCGCCATGCAGAATACCACCAGCTATAGAGGAATACAGCAAATCCCAGCAATAGTACATTATAGCTGGCGTTATTCTGCATTGCGCTGTATAATGTACTATTGCTGGGATTTGCTGTATTCCTCTATAGCTGGTAGTATTCTGTATTGTGCTGTATAATGTAATATTGCTGGGATTTGTTGTATTCCTCTATAGCTGGTGGTATTCTGCATGGCGCTGTATAATGTATTATTGCTGGGATTTGCTGTATTCCTCTATAGCTGGTAGTATTCTGTATTGTGCTGTATAATGTAATATTGCTGGGATTTGTTGTATTCCTCTATAGCTGGTGGTATTCTGCATGGCGCTGTATAATGTATTATTGCTGGGATTTGCTGTATTCCTCTATAGCTGGTAGTATTCTGTATTGTGCTGTATAATGTAATATTGCTGGGATTTGTTGTATTCCTCTATAGCTGGTGGTATTCTGCATGGCGCTGTATAATGTATTATTGCTGGGATTTGTTGTATTCCTCTATAGCTGGTGGTATTCTGTATTGCGCTGTATAATGTACTATTGCTGGGATTTGTTATATTCCTCTATAGGTGGTGGTATTCTGTATTGCGCTGCATAATGTATTATTGCTGGGATTTGAAGTATTCTATACAGCGTAATGCAGAATACCACCATCAGCTATAGAGGAATACAAATCCCACTATCCCAGCAATACATTGTGCCATGTGGGGGAAAGTGCAGGCTTACATTAGCAACTTGCTTCTGAGATCGGGCCTGTTTAGTGGACTTTTGGGGACTAGGCCAACATGAATGATTGACTGTTCCCTGTGACGCACATTGGAAAAATTGCCAGTGCTAAATAAATGAGTAAAATGAATATCAGACAAACAAACAAAAAGCAATCCTCCATGGGTACCATTACACCACTGTGCTGTTATAAAGTGGTAACGATTTACTGTAATTTCTAAGTGAGAATATATTCAGTAATTAACGCTAATAACTCCTCTGCCAATAACTTCATAAAATTGCAAAGAAGCACAATTACAGTGCAGCTATTCATTAAGGAATTGCTGCGTTCATGTTATTTACTTTAGATATTTAACCAGCTTTTTGTATGTTTACTTTTAGCTGGAGTGAAACCACTAATTCTAGGTTAGCTGGAGACGCAGATGGTTTAGTCCTCCTCGTGGAAAATTATGCAAAAGTTAAAAAAACATTTTTTAAATGGGTGGTGAACTTACACATTTCTATCCATCCTTTATTCATGTCTATGTGTGCTCACACACACACACACACACACACACACAATTCTACTTTACCACTATAGTCTATATCACAGGTCTCAAACTCAATTCATTTGGGGGCAACTCTAGAAATTCTTTGCTACCATGGGGGCCACTTGCCAAATGTCATACTTCTAAACAAAATACAGGCAGTCCCCGAGTTACATACAAGATAGGGACTGTAGGTTTGTTCTTAAGTTGAATTTGTATGTAAGTCGGAACAGGTACATTTTTTAAGTGTAACTCCAGCCAAAAAAACATTTTTAGTTTTGGATAGCATAGCAAAGGGTCACGTTTGTTTTGCTGTCTGTTCACGTTATTCAGAAGATTATATCATAATAAAAAACATTTTTTTAAATTTAAAATGACACCAAAAAAAGTTTTTTTTCTATTTTAAAGTTTTATAAACTTATTTTTTTTGTTTGCATTTTTTACTTATTCAATTTAATTTTTTTTAAACTTTTTTTTATTTTAATGCTCTGAGCAATCGCCAGCCTGCTATTGGATATTTCAAATTGCAATAGCAGGCTGGTTATTGCATCTGCCCACTTCCAATTAGCAGAGGAAGGGCCTGAAGGAAAAAGTTCTCTATCAGGTCCTCCCATGCTGATTGACAGCAGGCAGTGGGTGGGGGCAATAGCCAGCTTGCTATTGGCTATTGCATTTTACAATATCCAATAGCAGCCTGGGTATGGCTCCCAGCCTGCAGATGAAGAGGAGGCAGGGGGGCGGAGCAGAGGAGCCGTGGCCGGACGGGGAGCGGAGGATAGACATTGCACACTGAACTCAGGCACAGCAGGGATGCGTTAATCCTATCGCCTGGTACATGCAGTTCCGTGAACCGGGCAGGTGGTTTTTAGCCCTGCTGTGGGCAAGCAGGTAACACAAAATGGAGTAAATTGGCTTGATCAATAACTATACTCTTACATCCTTAGATAATCAGGGAAGTAAGGGTAGTCATATACGTGCACAAGTGCAACAATACATCTACTAGTTCTCAATAACCTCTCAACCTCCAACCTCTACTTCCATGTGCAAGTCTTCAATAACAGTTCAAACTGGAACCTACTATCAACTACCCTACTTGGATGATTGGTGAACACTATGCCAGGGCAGGAACTATTTTGTTTTGAAATCTCCACAGAAATGAGAATTTATTCCTAAAAAAAACCTCTATAAACCCAGAAGAGGTTTCTAACCATTCCCTATTCTGTCTCAAAGTTTTGGATAAAGCGCTACATCCTACCTCAGAATACACATTACAACCAGCAGAACAACTGAGCAGCAAATGTCACTGGTGTCAATGTTCTTTTATGCAACATACAAACAATGGACAGTACTCATTGCTGCAGGCTAGTAAACATTACCCATTTCCCTGAACTCTTCATTAATCATCTCAAGCCAAGCCACATCCATCTCATTTAAGTCGTAGCGGCAAACTCCTTCTGCAAGTGTCCTGATGTCAACATATCCCAGTTCCGGAGGGTCAGATCCAGACGAGTGGATGTATTTGCGAGGTCTACTGTATGTGACTACTTTCTCTTTCTCGGTGATCACCCTGAAAAATGCAAAAGCAAAAAAGTCACATGAGGAAATGAAGTACAAAAAGGCTTCAATGTCAAAAATATTTCAAACAATGCACAGATAAGTCTGTTTGGACCTATATGTCCATATCCCACAGAGTAAATAGTAATAAAGTACTTTGCATTTCAATTTCAAATCTTCTTACTTTACTCTTTAGGCATTAAGATAACAGGATCCAGACATATGTACATGGTAATTTGGGCAATAATTAGTTACACTACCAGTATGGTTTTGGACTGTACCAAGAACCCCAATTCAACCACAGGAGACACCCAAACACAGGGAGAACAAGTACTGAACTATTAAAGGAGAACTATGAGGTGAGTGCTTTTCAGAAAGCCGTGACAGGGGTGGGACTGGATTCCCCCCTCCGATCCTCCAGCGCTGACTGGGGGAAGGGGAGGGTGCGGGTACAGCTGGCACTGCCTCTAGATAGGCAGAGCCAGCTGTCACTCACGCAGCTGGGCGGACGCCGGCACAATTGTCGGGATCCACTTCAACTGCGGCGTCTCAGCAGCTTCTGCGTCTCAGCTACAGCTCACGGTATACTGTGCTTAGGGTGACGGGAGGATGCTAGTTTGTGTCCCCCCGCTACCCTAAGGAGAACTATGGGGAAAAGCCCTAACCCCATAGTTCTCCTTTAAACCAAGTGCTACAAAGCAGAGATAAAACTGAATCGGCCAAGAGATCAAACACACAACAGTAAAGTGGAATACTAGAAATGTTTTTAATTTTATATGGATTAAGCAAGGGCTAGAACCTCTGTCAGCATTTTATTGCCATTTGTGTTCCTGTTCAGCCATACTTTCTTTGCCAACGATGACTACCACCTACAACTGGCAAAAATGTCCATTTGTCAAAGGTGGGATCCGATTTCCCTTCTTATTATGATTCTGGAACAGGGCGGTAGGGTAAATCTCTTCAACAGGGATAAAGACATCAATAGAAACGTGACAGAGCCTCATACCCAGGCGTCTTAAAGTACCGCCCTGAAAACTGGTACCTGTCGGCCCGCAGCCGGCTGATAAGTCAGGCACGCAGTCACGGATCGCGTACCAGACTTGGGGGAGCAGCTACACCAGTGGTTGGGAACGTCCACAAAATCATTTGGTCTTGCCCCCCGAGCAGAGGCGGATCCAGGGGGGGTGATTGCACAAGGATAAGCCAGGTGAGGTCTGTACAGAGATGAGAACTCAAGAAATAGTGGGACAGGAGAGAAGTGGCAGGGGAAGAACCA